AATGATATATTGCATGCATATTCACTGCAATATAATGTATTATCGACGTTATCCTTTGCCTCGTATTGTTCGATCTACGTGGCAGGAAAGCTATTCAACTTAGTCGATTACTTGGTAATTTTAGTTCAACTTCATCTTACCTTTTTAGTCAAGTGGTAACTGAAGAATAGATGTCTAACATTGCTTCCAGCTCGAGGGTCGTCTGTCCTAAAGATGGCCTTCGTTAATAGTTTATACAATCTTAATTCTTGCCGTTTCAAGAGCAATTTCTTGGTAATTGTGTTCTTCTAAAATTCTGCAACAGTTTTCTCTAAGCCATATTTAAAGTCTCAGTAGACTTGTGATTTGCATAAGTGATGAATCAACTGTTTTTTTTCATATACCAGAACAAATACTTCCAAGTCTACATGTCATTACATTTGCGTACCTTCGATTCAAACCTATACAAGCCAATTGTGTCAGATGAGCCACTGGTATCTGTTCAATTTGTTGATCTTCGTCCCCTAGTTGATCTTTTGCAACCAGATATAGCAATTTTGAGACTAGCGATCTGGCGGACAAGGGAACAGAGCGACGCACAGTTTACAGTACATTCCTCAAAGCCACTGAGGTAGACTGCCGGTAGATTGAACGGGCACACAGACAGCTACCAAGATTGTGATAACGATAGCGAGTCTATCCCCTGAGGGTTTTAAGTGAAAGCCATGTTGGAAGAGCATGCCCAGTTCGACCGGCGGTTCATATGAACTCGGTATACCTTAAAGATGATTCCAATTGGGGCATCAACGGCGTTGGAAATGGCTGACCGAAACAGCAGTGAGTACGCTCTAGAGAAGTGCAAAAAACATAGCCTTTGAACTGCTTCCATATCAAGTAATACTTTCTTCTAACCTATTCAGACGGCAGATGCCGTCAAGTCAGTCAATTCGAAAATTCAGTAGCAAAAAAACGGTGGCTCTCGTTCCGACTGGTGCTCACTAGGTAAATTTTAAAAAGCACATTTGTATTTCGGCCATGAGACTGTAAAAGCTTAAAAAAGCTTAATCCATGGAATAGGTTTGCAGACCATCAGTCTCTGACCTGCTTTTAGTTGCTTGCAAAAATGCGATCATTAGGCTGATTAAGATGCTGCTCAAATCGATGGTCTGACGCAGCTTTAAAATGAGAATAATACCTCAATTACACCATCGGCCACCATCTTTGCTCTGAATATCGATCGTATATGCATTAAAGCAGTTATTCTTAAGTTTGCCACCATCAAGGGCAAAGTTTCTGTGGCGAACAAACAATCAATCACACATAACTATAATTGATATGTTTAATAAAGGCACCTTCAACCGTACGCTTGCAGTCTCTGGATGCGTCATCGATGATTATCAATAAATCTTATTTATTTTATTTATCGCACCTGAAGTGCTGATACTCCCTTTACAACCAATCGACTTCTTCCACGGTCAGCTTGACGTGCAGCGGGGACCGGAACGCGCTTGATGAACAAGTTAGCCGGTGGCCAGCAGGGCGACATGAATCGACAGTGACTCCCACACTTACGTGAAACGTTACGAGCTTCGCAATCTTTCGCTGGTTTCAGCGCAGGGTGTACAGCAAACGGATCAGCTTAATTTTACTACAGTCATTTCTGTTATATCTCTGATATTGATGATGTCAGTGTCATACTCATTAGGCAGGCACAACGCATACAATTGATCTTCAACATTACAAAAATATGAACAGGTGTTTATTTACAGGAAAAAGCTAATGTGTCCTGAATTCCGTTTTTAGGTATCTACGCAGGTTATTATTCTCCGGGATGAACTTTACCTAAGGTCTTATAAAATTCCATCAACCGTAACAATTTAAAAATCATAAAATGTTCTCCTGATTGTAGCGCCAATCCTACCATTCTTCGCTCTGACAGGTGATTCATTAATTTTATGCATATTTGCTGCCTGCAATGTAGAGGTTAAAGTTGGATTTAGTGACAGGAATATTTGGTTTAGAAATATATCCCGACATCAGTTCCAAATCATTCTTTAGTGATCGCCTTGAAAGACTTTCATCGTCGTCAGAAACGATCGGCTCAGCACTTCGCAGAGCTGTTTAACAGGTCTGGCCCTGCGGTAGATTTTGAAGTGAAAGAAGGCAGTGGACAAATCGTGGATGTAAAATGCCCCCCCCCCATTGATAAAAAAACTCGAGAAGCGATACGTTTCTCTCAAAGCACTCAATCAATGAATTCATCTGCTTTATGGTAGGATCTGGCGGAAGTTCGGGATTCCCGAAGACCGAAAAAAGGCATGTTCATCTCGACTTTCCAATCTCGAAGTAACGCTGATTGCCCAAACTGTCGAAGAGTACCCTTCTACCTGTTTTGGCGAGCGTGGTTTCACGGATTACCGTTGGAAGGCTGAAAGAACCCATCGGTGACGTCGTCCATATGTTTCTTCTGCCATGTTTTCCTTTTCGTGCAAAATGCTTCTCGCATTGTTGCAGCGCTTTGTTTGAGGAATAGCAGCTTATCTAGTTTCTGAGGTTATGCTTAAATAAATTAAATAGAATTTAGTCTAACTTAAATAAATGCCTTACATCGTGCTTCGTCTTGGCCGTTAACCCTTACTGTAGACCGCTCTTTCTCAATGATGAGAATGCTGAAGCTGTGTTGTAACTATTCAAGAGTAAATGTTCTATCATGTTCGACCGAAAGGGACAGCAAAATTTGGCAGACTGACGGCAATGATGGTAAAACCACTTCAACATATACTTCCTGTGCAAACATATAGAGAAATGAACAGTGGAAGTGATTTGTGTGCATTTTATAGATTATGCCACTTGTCCATATAATAAACGTTATTCGTGTGCAAACAGAGTCGATCAACTGCGAACCACGTCTACCTGCATTTAGGGCACCTGTGTCAATAAGAGTGTCTCGCTATTTGTTGCCTGTTTGCGTAATGAAATGCCAGTCGTCGGCAAGCGAACACACTACAGCTTGTTTTCTTGCATATAGCGGTTGATGCAAGGGGTTGGATGCCAACAAGGAAATGCTGCATTCGCCGCAAAACACAGATCTGTCTAAACTGCCGGCCTCGAGTCAGGGGGCACAACTGAAGATCAGCAGTACAAAGCGTCGAAAAGCCACCCTATACCGGAAACAGACGGTCTTCGAGCAAGATGGACCGCCGTTTCTGTCGATCCAAGAGGTGCTGGTGCGCGTCGGCTTCTTTGGGAGATACCAGGTGTTTTGCTGTGTTATTACCATCTATTCGGCGATCTTCTGGACCACCAACTATCTGTTGCTGCTGCACCCAACGGTCTCGAAAACCTGGAGCTGTAGCAACCAGTTGACAAGCGTCAATCAGACGTATTATCTGCAAAGTTACGGCAAAAACTTTTGTGAGGTAAGGAATTCGGCTGACCTCGTGTTCGTCGACGAGTGTCTTATTTTTGCTCTGTATTTCTTGTGCGCAGGAAATCATCAACTGCACCGTTCTGCGGCCCGTGAACAGTACCTTCGTGTCGGTCGTCGACGAGTGGAAGCTATTCTGCGACGACAGTTCCCTTTCGTACTTTGTACTGTTGTCGTACGTGCTCGGACGAATGCTGGGTTGCTTCGTTGGTGGTTTCATCGGCGACAACATCGGACGAATGTGGGGCATTATGTGCTTGCAGGCAGTTCTGCTGGTCACTTCGATGATGTCCATCGCGTCGACCACATGGAAGACGTTCATTGCCTTCCAGTTTTTCAACGGCATCATATACGGCCACATGCGGGTCACCTGTACGACTATGTTGGTCGAGACGGCCGACCGCAAGTACCGTACGATCACGCACATGTGCTTCCAGAAGAGTCTTGGCTTCATAGTGAACGCGATGCTGGCCAGCTGCACGCTGCACTGGCGAATGCATATTATCATGATGAATCTACTGGCCTCGCCGCTGCTTTACTTCTACCTACTGTACCAGGTAGAAACCGCAGCCACACCATCCGCAATCGTTGAATGAATTTTTTGACCTTAGGAATCATACCGTTGGCTCATATCCACCGGCCGGTTGAAAAAGGCGCTGAACGTGATTTCAGAGCTGAACTCTGATCGATGGAGAAAGATCAAGCAGCCGGAGATATACGAGGCACAGCTGGCGATGATCCCGCATTCCGATCCGCGAAAAAGGCCCTACACCTTGCTCGACCTGATCTGCTTCAAACGCTGGCGTCCGCTGATCCTCCTTCTGGCCGTTCTACATATCATCAACGGCACAACTAGCACCGTGTTCTATCCGTACGACGAATGGCATTATTTCAACGTCAACTTTCACCTGCTACTGTGCGGTCTACTGTCCCTTATTTCTTCCATAGCGTTCGTCGTTGCTGATATTCAGGTAAGCTCATAAGCTGAAATGCGTGGTGAAGACATTTGATACGGTAACGTGTTCCAGATTGCGAAGCTAGGCCACAAACCTATTCTTCTGGTGTGCTTGACGATCCAGGGTTTGGCGTTACTCGGCTTGATCATCTATCCGTTGAACTCGGCTTCGGTTCGCAACGCGGTACAGTACAGCCTGAAGTTGATCTTGATCATGGTCGGCGAGTCGGTCTATCACCTGATCATCTTTCACGCCACTACTGCCTCTTTCCCGACCGTCGTCCGATGTCATGCATTCGCGTTGTTTCACGCCTGCTACGACGTGGGAATCATATTCATGACGTTATTGCTGGTAAGGGCCAAGGACAATGCCATCTATCCGTTCATTCTTTGCGAAGTACTTGTCGTCCTTGGTGGCGTGCTGACGTTCTTCTTTTTTCCCGAAACCAAGTACGCCCGAAGCAACAAGCTTTTCCCCGACATGTTGCCAACTGCCGTGGACTCTGACATGGAAGCCACGCCCCGCTCTATCGAATCTTGATTCAGAGGGTCGATTCATTTTCTCTGACTCGAAAGCTTTCAATATGCGATATCAGGCATATTAGCATATTTTCTGTTGCAACTAGTCCATAAATTGCCGAAAAGTCCATAAGATGCTACCGGCTGAACTTACTTGAACATGTCATATGTATATTATGTATGTTACGTCATACGCTTAACTGCTCCAAGGCCAGATTTTACGGAGCATCCTTGCATCCCCTTGCTCCTACTTGCTCGAGGGGACATGTAAACAGGCGAAAGCTCCATGGTATTTGAACACCTGCAGTGCTCAATGCATCTCGCATCACTTTGCTCGCTAAAGCCACTTCACGCTCATCACGAACGACGTTTCAAGAGCTGGCACTGCTGTTACGCTACAGCACAAACATAAAAATATTGTCGTTCCCCGGTGTACGTTGAATGATGCATAACTCCTGCATGACCTGCAGAAATAAACATGTTTTGTTAGTGTACTATCGACTGATTGAGTGACAAATGCTCGTTGAACTCCAATTGCATTTTTGTTTACGCATTGCTTTTTGTTGCCGCGATTATTTCCAAAAGTGGTGCATGTATGCCTTTCCGAAAACAGCTGAAACGGTTCATTTATACACCATAGGGTGTTTGGCCAATGCTTGACGACTCGTTGGTGTCTTACGGGCTTTCTTCAAGATGAGGAGTTTGGTGGTTGGCTGAATTTGAAGGTTCATCTGTCATTCTCAGCGGATGCTGCGTGTGTGGTAGAAAGAGACATTCGAAGGGAGACATCTGTTTTAACCGTTACAACAGCGGCGAACGACAACAGGGACTTCCGAACCCAACCTACCTCTGTCTTGAAGACGGCCCGTGAGACGACACGATTGGCTGGAACGTCGATACTGATGAATCACCTGGTTGACCGAATTTGTTATAAATAAACTGCGTTTATGGTATTTTCAGTATGGCCGCCAAAGAAAGAACGAAATGCTCAATTGTACATCATTTGATTCAGTACATCGTCATGAGATGGGGAAAGTCTTGAACCCTTGCTATGATATTCGTAAATTCGTGAACTGATGCATTAACGAACCACCGTGTGCCATTGAAATAAGGGGAAGGCATATGATAGGTATTCTATTGACAGTGCAGTCGGTCAGGAATTGACTACGCCTTTGTCATACAACACATGTTGTTCACATTGTTCTCGAAGTCTTTGGGTGTAGATATGGAAAAACAAGGTTCCGTTGTAGGACGGAGCCAGTCTTCAAGCGATGCAGACCTGAAGTACTCGGATAATAGTGCCACGGTGAGTGATGTAGGAATTTGGCTTCGCTACCCGACCGTCTTCTTAATCAACACAGGAAGCTGCTTTCACAGCTGTGACAGGAAGGTCGTCCAAAACACGCCTCAAAAGTCAAAGTTATGAGAATTCATTTAGCACAGCAGGTGTGCATGTAGAATTGGGAGGTGAAAAGCATAAAGGAGATTAACGAATTTTTGAATCTCGGTTCTACCATCTCTGAGGAGAGCAAGATTCAGTCAGAGTTAAAGGATAACCTCCTATACAATCTGTGTGTTTGAAAACGTTCATATGCTTATGCTGAGAATCAAATATGCCTTTCAAACGAAGGGTTACCTGTACCTGCCTCAGTCAGGCTAGTGTTGCTGTACTGCTTAATAGGCATCCTTTAAACGAAAACAACGTTGACTGTTAAGACGCTTGCTTCGACGCATATCGATGGTCATAAGTGGTAGGGTTACGAACGCAGTGACTGCATTCACATCCGATATACGTTGTTCCGTACATACGAAAATTAAGGAAATAATTTTTTCTGAAAGAAATAAAGTTGATACCATTTAGACAAACAGACTGACCATAAATTTCTCACCGTTGTCTGTGAGCATTTCATAAGAAGTCAAAAATACTATAAGCATATATAATAGCATATATTAGCGATTTACATGGTGTAGACAGATTTGTTTTCAGAGAGTTGTTTCTTCTACGAATCGCTAACGGTTTCGTATGGCGAAAGTATTGAAGAGCTGTGAATGGGAGGTACGTCACTAACCATAGACGTTTTGATTATGAAAGACGCTCATGGCGAATATTACAACAGGCAACAACGAGCTCAGATGAAGGAAACCTTTCTACCTCGCTGAGGATACACCTGGTAGTCTATGCTGGAATCACGCCGTGCTAGGTTGCTGTCCCAGAGAAAGAATGTTATGCCTGATTGTGCTCCACCTGCCTAAATTGCAAATGATTTATGATTTTAAAATAACGATTGCGACTTACTGCCCTGTACGGTAGTGTTGCAAATGCAACATGCTTAAATGTGGATGATGAACGCAGTTCAGTTTGTCTGAAAAATACATTTGACTTCTAGGGGTTCTCACAGTGTACGGAAGACAACGTTTGTGGAACACTCCTCCGTCCATTTATGAATTTCAAGTCAGGTCCAGTCATCTCCCAATAAATAGAGCATATGGCAATAAAAACATAGCAGCAAGGGCAAAGACTCAGTCTAGTAGATGCTGTTTTAAGGAAATCTCCAAAATTTTTAATAAGGATTTTTGGGCGTGGTGAGATGCCGTCGGCTTTGAACTCTGGAGGTGCTGGATGAGAATCAGCTCAAAGAAAAATCTTTGTCTTAACCGTGAATTCTCATGAATAAAGAATTAACCTCACGTTACTTCAGTACAGCCAACTGACAAGGAGTAGTACGTCAGTTAATTGCGAGTATTAGGCACAACAAGATATTTCGAATTGGCCATGCCAGAGTGGAAGACGCAAACGGCTATGCTGTCCAATGTGAACCTCTCTTTAGTTACACTTCGCCGTGACTCACGTGATGGCTGAATAATCAGTGCAATAGCCATCGCACAGTGTAACCCTAATTTTGATTTCGAAATGACAGCAGTGTCATTTTTAATTGAACGATAGCCAGGTGGTGCACTTCACCTGTGTGTAAATAAATGCAATCTTTCATGCCTATGTGATTTTCCTGAGATATGCTATTCTCCTCGAAGAGGATTGCCGTCTCGGCGATTACTCCACAAATATTATTTGCTGTTAAAAATGGAACAGTTTCGAATCAATGCATTCTAGTGGCTCGAATCTTACTGTCGGCTAACCGACGGGTGGTGTTTTGCTTCCAGAGGGACCAGGATATTATAGAACAAATGTGATCGTACTTGCGCTATAATTAATTGGACCACGTGAATGCAATTCTTGTGCCTGTTTTGATATTTGAATAAATAAGGAGCTTTTTCAACTCCTAGTACCACTCTTGCAAGGTTTTTTGCATTCCATAATGGTAATCTTGATAAGTTAATAGTATAAATTCCATCTTACCATTTGATATGACAGTTTTGTCATTACCCATTCTTTGGTAAGGGGATTCTGGGGCTGAAGTTATGGCGCACACGAAACTCTACTTCTAAACGATAGGGTTGGCTTCAGTTTCTCTTTCCCTCAGAGACTCATACAAACCATAGCAGTGAATTCGTAAATTTAGCTATGTTATAACATTTTGCTTCTGTGCGTTATTTTTCTAACAGACATGCAGGTTTTGTGAACTCCTGATATCGTTGGCTCATCACTTGTGACGAGTTCCCAGTGCTGCCCTTGCACAATATAGGAATAGACAAGTTCAACTTTGAACTTTGTGCGCCATAACGGCTACTATAACTAACTACTTTTTAGCAGCATTGTTTTACAGCCCACTGCATTTCATATATCACGTGATCTGCACCCTGGCAGGTTACCCTCTTTCCTCGAATACGATGCAGATAGAAAAATGCAGGGTAGTGGAAACTGTCAGTACTGACTATAATTGTTTTATGTCAGGAATTAATATGACAGTGTGGCCTTCAATTTCGTCACTGGAACAATTTGGAGCATTCGCTTCTGAGTAAGTTTAGACTGAAACCCCCTATGAGTTCTGTCAACCTGAGTATCATCGTGTCGTTAGCTGGCAAGTCTTCCCGGCTGTCTTTGAGGTTTATGGGTATTTAATCGTCATCATCAGCTTTTGCCATAAATTCCTGTTTTCCATGATTTCCTTTAATCCTGACCAAACAGACTTCTTTATAATATCCTGCCGTCGATTTGGAGATCTTCCAACAGGCCGGATGCTTCATCTTTTTCTGGTCAAGCGATGATCAGTTCTTCTCGCAGCGTGCCATGACCATTGCCACCCTTACTTTTTCAAATTTTCTATATGGCGGACTCCTGCTTGTGTTCTGTCTATTTATTCGGCTTATATCTTTCCATTTATTTTCTATCTATCTATTCTCAACATACATTATTCCATGCTGCGTTGCGTAGACTTTAGTTTATGAATAGATTTTATATTTGGGTTCACTTCTCATCCACAGGTCACCACTGTTGGAAATCTTTCCGTTTCAAGCACAAGGGCGGTTCTCTCGTAGGAACCTATACCTTGTTCAGCGATGTTGCGTGTCAGCCTCTAGGTGTACATGCGCCGCATTTCAGTTCCAACGTGAGGTACTCACAGACTTGACCAGGTCTTTCATGATGCTTAGTCAGATGGCCACACAGGGTCAATTTCCTTACCTTTATTTCTTCATTCAGTCAGGATTCCGGTGCATGGAAGGGAATGGATACAATTACTATGTGGTCGCGCTATTCCAACCTCATTATGCGTCCCAGTCAACGCTTCTGTACGCTGTTTAATGGACGGTCGTGATCCATCATTAGAACGACTGTTTCTACACCTGATGGCAAAAATGGTTTGATTGAGGCAAGCAGGTTCTTGCGAAAAGGGAAAATGGATATTAATTGCGTCATGTTGGACGAGTTTTTCATAACATTCTTCATAACCTGGCGCACTTGCATAGATGCCTAGAAAGTCTTCTTCGAACACCAGGGGTAAGGGGTTCGATTCCGAGTGAGGACAATCTGTGTCTTATTCAAGAATTCCCTTGAACAAGGAATTTGCCACAGATTGTTTCAAACCGGGGTTGCCTGGTCAGTGAAATGTCCAACTTTGAATCGGTAGGTCATGAGTTCAAGCGCCGGTCGGGTCACTCATCCTTCTCCTTTTTGAGGTTCATAAATTAGAATCACTCTGTGGGAAGGATACACAGGAGACTACAGGCAACGTTTGTCATAGGGCAGTAAATTCTGTTTTAAGTAGGTACTTTTGGCTGATGGCATAAAAACGGTGATCAGCACCGCGGCATCAACTTCATGAAAAGAAGGGCTCCAAAATGGCCCAATCATGAAAGTGAGGGAAGATTGGCGCTCGAACGTTGACCTAATTTCCTTTTTTTTCTTGTCATAACTTTTGAGTTAGAAGTATTGAGGAGAAGCCGCCTTTCGCAACTGTGTCCACCGTGGAAGCTTTCTGGTGATAATGAACCGCACCCATTCTTGTACTGCTCATTATGGCAATGTTATCTGGTCAACAACACATTTGGCTAGCCATCTTGAAGTATTTCACCCTCTAGAAAGCATCTGAGCAATTTTCTATATTAGTTTTGGTTTAAGCTTCTGACTGTGGGCAAACATCCAGCAATTTGAACTTCTGAAATATTTTTTTCAAAGAATTTCATGAAGGACCTCAAATTCATCTGCGATAATCGTTTTTTCAAGTTGAATTATTAAAATGTTATTTTACTTGTAATGTACATAGTGTGCTACCATTCGAACATATTGCTAATCGAAACTACGACACAAAACTAAAGTTGATAGGTCGCCGCATTAATGTTGTTCATGCTCCTCTGAATGACCTTCCAATTCCGAGTACAAGTGCAGCGAGTGAGTAATCAAGTGATCCCAAGCTTCCTTCTCTTCGTTGGTCATCTGCGTATTGTCGGTGAGGAACTTCAAAATGGCGGGCTTCGATTTCTGAAAGTAGAGCGTTTAGTACACAGTTGGCAGTACCTTCTAGTAGACATATGCTATTCTCCTAGATTATGTCATGCATAGATGCAAGTAGAAGTGCAAGTGACCAGAAGGTGCGATGACCGATAGACCGGTCTCGAACTCTGTTACGTACCTGGCTCGATTCCAGCGGACGGCAATCTCTGTCTTATCCGAGAATTCCCTCAGACAAGGAATTTGCCACGCGTTGCTTCATACTGCGGTTGCTCAGCTCAGTCGGTGGATCATTGGACTCAACAGCGAAAGATCCTCGGTTAGAGGTCCGGTCGAGTCACCGGTAGGAAAGAAGCAGGTGACCACAAGCTGTTTGAAATATAGCTTCTGTCGCTCTGCCTTTAAAATATAACGCTCGTGGCCCATGACACGGACATAGAAATCACTGCTCTATGATTAGCCTCATTTTAAAGGGTTCCTGAAGTGCACCTTCATCGAAGTATAATGGTGACCGACATCTAACGACTGTTACTATCTTCTATCATATGCTTATCTCAAAGATTGCACTACGTTTGTACAACTAGAAGTTGAATAACTGCTAAACTATGAATTGCTAATTACTTGAAACAGTCGCTGTTCCATGAGGATGAAATTCTTGTGCTTGACTTATAAACCCTGAGGCTAATGCTTGCATTGCTGCTTCAACTTCAGTCGCGATGCAGTTGCTACAGCAAAGCTGAAATGACCTTTTCTATAGACATTGTAGTTGATGAACCTGATTAACTTTGCAGATCGCATGCTCAAGTACCGCTGATATCTTTTATAAATGCCTGCTTTATCAGGGGGTCGGTTTGTATGATATGCATCAGTCAAGGTGATAACGTAAAACAGAGCGAAATGGTTCTACTCAAGCGAAAGGGCCTGAGAAACGGCTACCACTTCAAGGAAAGCAGCAGGCCCGCATTTCTAAATTTCAGAATGAAGAGACAGAGATGAAAAATAATTAGGGGCTAATGTTTGATACCCGTCATCGGAATGATCCTGGTTACGATGAACATCAGTTATTCGATCAAGCAGCGGCTGCATGGCAATTCAGGAGAAGGTATTACAAAGCAAAGATGCAGCATATAATGGGTTCGCTCATGAGACTTGAGACAAAACGAAAGTGCATTAAAGTAATACTGAAAATACACCATGAAATTATGAAATAGTTTTGTAATTGAAAATCGTACATGATTTCTTTATGCGGCAGGTGATAAAATCTTTAGGTAAGTCACAAACGGGAAGGCAACGCATAAAATAGTCTTTAATTAGGGACATCTGACGTTTCAGACCAAGCTTGGTCCGTCTTCAGAGTACAATCTGTATAATTAATTTTTATATTCTATGATAAGTTGATAAGGTTAAGAAATTGGCACTACCAGAGGAGTAAGTGTTGAGCATAAGTTGCATTTCCAAAATAAAATATCTTCACAGCCAAGTCATTAAGAACAGGTGAGCAACAAATAGAACGGAATCGTATGGGAATGTATGCTGTAATTTTCCGCCTCGGAAGGGTAGATGTGAAAGCTCCCCTTGAGGCCAGCAATCAGAAGCTACAATACTGATTCTTTTAAAATTACTGTTATAGACAGATACCGTCAAAATTATCTCAAAACCATAACAACGAATCCGAGCCAAGGTACTGGGTACAAATCCTAGTCGTGTTTGTACTCCAAACAACTCTATGCAGTACTGTTTTCTGTAACTGCTGCACAGTCAGTACTGTTTAGGTTTGAATGTACCATGCACGAAAACAGTAAACGCATAAAATCTGTCCCAAGAGCCAAGGCTCAACGAATATGACCCAGATGATGAAGTATCGGTAGAGCCATGATCTGGAAGATTTTTTCAGCTACTCGAAAGGTGTCTAGTAATGCCAAAGAAATGGAGGCATCCATGACAGGTCATAGGAGCTGCATTTAACGAATAGCTGTTCTACATTTCACGGCTGTATCGAGTTTTAGCCCCTGCAACGCATGGACACAAGTCCGCAGCGTCACGTTTGGTCGACCTACGACGTTTCTGAACAGCAAAAACATGGCGTTATCCGTAGGCTTGCATACAGTAAGCACAGTCTCGTCCCCGGGGTTCTGCGGCCAACTACCGTAATGTTAATTTTCGAGGTTGTGGACGATGTCATAAAGACCTGGATATGAAAAACCTGCGGATCAGTTTCGTCAGATGTTTCGGCCACTCCAACATATGTGGCGAATTTTACCTGAGCAATTCCAGTGTTATGCTCGTTGATGATTTCTTTACATTCGAAAATCGAATAGCCTGACGTGTATTAGCAACAAGGAAAAGGTCACTCGGTTAACGATCTTGAATCGTTCTGAAAAATCTCAAGGCGACTACGCTTGTGGTTGCGATCCCTTCAATTACATGCTGGGCAGGGTAACCGAAACCTATCTGCACAGAAGCTTATTGGATGAAAGAAGGTCACGTGGAATTTTTAATCAACAGCTATTTGCAAGAACATCTCAGATTTGCTGTATTGCAAATATTGCATAGAGAAATTGCAAATGTGGTGGATAGAAGTGAAATATGCCAAGTCAAACAGGTTTCAAAGATTTTAAAAATCAAGCGAAAAACGAAGTGATAATGACAAGCATGATCACAGCAGCAATCATTTAATATACTCAAACACATTTGAAATTCTAACAAAAAAAGCGAACAACATACAAGGCAGATAATGAATGCGGAAATGCGAGGAAAGCTAAGCAAAAGATTAGGAATCACTGAATAACCTCAGGAGAAACAAATTGGGATATGGCCGAAAGATAGCAACGGGTGAACATTGGAACGTGGATTGAACATAATAATAATATCGCTTGGGAAATGAATCGATCGTATGCCTGAATTGTTTAAACCGGTTTTGAAACTTTCACCCAATCTTCCAAAACTACTTTAGGAAATATGAAAAATACATCAAGTTTCCATCAGCAGCTCCATCGATCTAGGAAGCGTTATTTGCGATGAATATCATGATTTATAAATTTACTATTCACGAAATAAACTGATATAAAAATTGCTATCGAAATTACCAAAATGTGTATGATAATATTTTTCATAATGCCGTCAGCATGTGAACCGAAATATATGTTTGTCAATCCATTATACTCCCCGAGCCTGCGAAGCCTTTTGTTAGAAATTCTGCTTTTATTGAAAAATAGAAAAAATGAAAAGATTCTAACCGTTCTGATGTTAGTGCACTTCTATGATGGACATTACAACTGGGAACTGATTTTCATAGTTGTGTCTTACGGTGAAAAGCCAAGACTTGTGCTACTAACAACACTCCATGCATCTTCCTGGTTCATTCCCACACAGCTGCACTCATTTATGTTTCGTCTTACGAGGAAGGACTACTTTTCCCAAGATCTGTCGTATAAGTTATAATCATCTTCAGCAGCCTTTTCCGATTCACTGACAGATGAAGACCCCACCAAAAGAGTCTTTGCCATGGAAATGTTCCCTTAACAAGGTTATTAACTCTGATTTTCTGCCTGCTGACCAGTTATATATGCCTACGATATCCTCAACGTCAGAAAATTATACACAGCCAAGCGCTTCCACCTGACATACCTTGAACATTTTAGCATCGACGTGCTTCTCGTCATGCTTCTTCTTGATTTTCATGATCTCTTGCTTAAGAGCATGGTCGTCATCGCAGTGTTCTGGCAGCTCCTTTAATAGGCTTAATAAGGAGTGGCCCAACTGCTGGTAGTACTTCATATTCTCGACGTCTTCAAGCTTGTCGAAATGCTCTGCGAACTGCGACTTCGCCTCCGGCAGTGATTGAAACAACCTGAAACAAGAAGCTCAGATTGCAATCAATAAGACGAGATGAAACTCTTACTGATGGTAGAACTTTCCCCCCAACTTGTTGGTCAGATTCAGCCGTTTCATGTGTTCCATTAGAACATGTTTGTTGCAGTGAAAGTCTTCATGCTTGTGGGCAGTTTCGTCGGCCAAAATGAAGCCCAAACAGCAGAGGATGACGACGATGGCAATCATGCTGGCGATGCGATAGAATCTGAAAGCAGCAGATATTGTTTTCGGTACTCAGAGCCGGCTTTAATACTATTTCAGATGACATGCTCAGCATAGAAATTTGTCATGCCTCGAAGCAGCTGGTGCCATTAATTACCTCATCCCTGGGGGATCTTGACCACAAGATGAAGAGGTTTGGCCTGTGTGACGGGACGATAAGCCATTTTTTTGAAAATCTTCGATAATCATCTCTGAATATAAGTCAAGGGCAGTTCTTAGCATAGTTTTTGGAGGGTGATTTTGATTGAGTTCAAGCAGAACCCTTCGCTATTTTTAGTTTCGAAAAACGTCCTGACATTTCAAGAAGCGTCTTTAGCCCTACTTTCGTTGTTTTGCATCATATTTTCACCGGAATGCTGCACATCTAAAATTAGCAGCTTAAACTGTTTGAGTTGCTGGGTCATAATTTGTGGCGCTTTCTCTTTAACCACCTAGCAGTTATGACTGTTTAATTTCGATATGACTATGTGGCTTTGCTTTATGTTCCATAGATACCGGTAGACGGTGTCTGAGGTTGGTTGCCACGTGAAAATAACATCAGCAATCATCGATGTGCTTTTTAGGAAACCATTTAACCTCAGCTGAACGAGCTAGTTAAATTCATCTGGCATTATGTAATATAATGTGACTGAGACTATTCTCTGAGCAAAATAAATCGACGACATGGCGTACGATTTCTGTCAGTTTTCTAAGGCTTTCATGTGCCTAGAGGTATCGTCGAAGTTCGTCGTTCTATATCTATGTAGATCAGGTGTAGTGCAATTATTGCTTCTACTTTTAGATCTAAGACAGAGGGAGTCATCATCAGTGTACGGTAGGTGAAATCATTCGAATTTTTTGTCATTCACTGTATTCATGGGAATTAACGATGGTTCATCTGTCCCACCCAAACTTTTACCTATCGTTACCCTCATCTGGCTTTGACCTCAAGACGTAAAGGGAACAAATTGCATCTGATATTCATATCATTCTTTATCATCTGTCGTAACTCTGTGGTAAATACATTTAGCACTAATTTACCTTCATGTGAATTAGCCTTGCTCAATCTTTCTGCTTTCTTCACGATGGGCACGAATGTTAGCATTCTCTAATGCCAGCACTTATTTGGGTGCAGGTGCACAAGTACTGCTTACTACAGCCTTTGCACTCATGTACAGTGTTGCAGAGTACCGCTTC